AGTCCTAACACTTCCATAATCATCCTTCTCAAAATAACTGTATAAACTCCAATCCCTTGGAAACAACAACCATCCATTAACCAACCTCTCCTTCTAAAGTGACGTTAACTCGACATGAAAACACACATCACTCATGATACCCGACACCATAGTCAACAACCCGCTACAAGAATAAGAATCATGCGCGGCACGCTACAGAAACAGTCTCTAAGAAGGAAACAGATACCACACCCAAACGGTCAACCACATAAAAATAATGGACTATCATTGAAATCTAACTAGACACCCAAGTCATACATCCTAAACGACCTTCTTGATGAATTGACAGATCCCTCTGTTCCAACATTATCGTCATTACCATCACTATCCCCGTTACCCGTTAGACCAAACACCGATCAAAAGAAAACATGAATATAATGCTAGAATTAAGTGCAATTACATACCTTTGACTACGGGGGTCCCTCTGGTGACTTAACAGGAGAAACAACCAGATTGACTATACGACCCTAAGTCTCCCATCCCTGTGACTCTCCAATCTGAACACCAAACTGTGATACTGAAGGTCGAGTCGGTCCTTGCCCTGAACCTACCTCACCAATTGGAGCTCCACCTTTCTTGGGACAATCTTTCTTCCTATGATCAGGCTGACCACATTTAAAACAAACCCCAGAACTAGGCCGACTCCAAGGGCATTCTGTTTTTAGATGACCTGTCTGCTTGCATCTATAACAAATCCTCTCGACCTTAGGGGATATCTCTAGCGGTGACGTAAAAATAATGGAAAAATGAGATGAATCACCCTTTAGCATCTTTTGTACATAACTCTCGAACAACATCTCCACCTCTTTAACCTGACTCCACAAACCCCCATCTCCCTGTCTGTTCGTAACCTCCGTTCTCTCCGACTGTACCATCGACCACTGAGTCTCTATGACTACCGCACGTACAAAGTTTGTCATGGCCTCAAGCAAATTTTTAACCAAAGAATCCCAATCAAAGAGCTCGTCTTGCTTCCCACCATCATCTACCTCTCTACGTCTTTTCGGAGGCATAACACTAAAAATGATAAGAAGGGAGTCAAATACAACACAACCATGTGACCCAAACTCAAAACTTTGAAGACTCACACAACTCGAAACTGAAACACAACACTTAAGAACACACCAAACAACTCACCCCACAGAACCGTGCCCTTCCCAAGCATATACACCCATCACAAAATCGTATATAAAGCCACACACTGACCAGTTCTAAGTATACATGATGTACAACACCATCATCATAACTTAAGCCTATAATGGGTGATCAAGTCATAATTTCTTAGCATTGAAACACATAACAAAAAAACATGCTTTCACTTAACATATTCGCTTCATTTACATATACCGACATTTAGACACGTAAGCACATAGAAAATCGGCATGCTTTCAAAACTGTAAACATATAAGCATGTAATCACGTAAGCAAATAAACGAGTAAGCAAGTAAACAAGTAGGCATGCTTCTCAAACATTTAAACACTTTAACACATAATCATGCAATTCAACTTCCCCATGCAATCCCAAGTAGGCCTCTACCCGTCGTCCTAATGGTATTCGAACCATTACTCTGATACCAACTTTGTAACGACCTAAAATGATACCAGTCATAAAAAAAAAATAATAATAACATAAAAAAAAAAATTAGCATAACCTCTGCTAAAAAGGGTCCTACCACAAACTGTTAAAATGCATAAAAAAAATGTAATGGCCTCACTTGGCCTTAAACTAATCTATCTTGTCCCAATGCATAATGCAAATAATATAAAACATACCCAAAACTACAACATACATATAAAAAGAGTCTCGTTCCTCCAATTCCTTCAAAAACATGGAAGCGCCAGTCCACTACTTAGTCCTATACTCCTTTACAAGGAACATACTCTAATTACATCAATTTAACGTCAGTGAAATACAGCTGAAATCAAAAGTCCATAATTTACAACATTATACAAATTACACTAAAGTTTTGCAGAATAGTCAAATATAAATCTCCAATCCCGTCTAAACTTGTGGTGGATAGTCGTCCGCCACTTCCTTCCCGTGACCTAAAAAATGTTAAATATAAGGGGTGCGCAAATTGCTCAGTAGGTGATGCCTAAGACACACCTCTTGTGACCGCGTGAATCCAGGCAATGAATAAAAATAAAGGGAAACGGGGTCATGCTATACCGAGGAAGAATACGATACAATTGCAAGGCTAAAAATAAATAATGGCGTTCCATAAAATGCAATGTCGTGCTATGTTGCTCCCCGTTTCAAAACCATCCATCACTTTTCAAACCGTTAACATAACCCGTCCTTTGGTGACTCTGCGGCGTCATTTGGGGCCTAGCTAACTCAACCACGCTAGGGTGATCTCCCTAATTCCCTCTAGGTTACATTAATGCCATGGACCTTTGGTACCTTCTCGGTGTCCGGGTTTTCGCAAAATTACTTACCAAAAAAATTCTTTCCTAAAACCCCTTTTCATTTCAAAACAATTCTTTCCTATTTTTCCTTGCCCAATGTTATGTATGAAATGTGTCATAAAATTATACAATTCTACTTCAATAACCTTGTATGCTTAATAAGGAAATTCACACACAACATCTCATACTCACAATTAGTACAATTTTCAACAACAACATATTTAAATTAAGAACATAATCATTTAAGCATGCCTTTGTCATGTCCCTTCAACAAATCAATTATGCATACCATTTAAGCATGAAATTCACATAACTTATACAATTCAACATTAATAACTTACATGCTTAGTAAGGAAATTTATACAAAACCTAACATGTTTACACTTAGCACAATCTCAACAATCACACATGTAACGACCCACTCCACCACATGGTATGATATCGTCTGTTTTGGGCCTGAGCCCGCACGGTTTTACTTTTGGGCTTTACCCTAAAAGGTCTCATACCAATTGGAGTGACACATCTACATATAAGCATTTCACCTTTCCCTTTCCCAGGCGATGTGGGATTGTGCACCCGTAACTCGCCAGTTTGGTAGTTTGTTAGTGTTTCACACCCGCCTATGGCACACCCACCCACAGGGTCATCACAATCCACCCCCTTAGAGGCCCGACGTCCCCATCGGCACACTTCCGGTTGGGTCAAGCTCTGATACCATTTGTAATGACCCACTTCACCATATGGTATGATATTGTTTGCTTTGGGCCTGAGTCCGTACAATTTTGCTCTTGGGCTTTATCCCAAAAGGTCTCATACCAATTGAAGTGACACACCTACATATAAGCACTTCACCTTTCCATTTGCCAGGTAATGTGGGATTGTGCACCCGTAGCTTGCCAGTGTGGTAGCCTGTCACTGTCTCGCACCTGCCCATGGCACACCTGCCCACAAGGTCATCACACACATTTAAATTAAAAATATAATCATTTAAGCATGTCTATATCATATTTCATCAACAATCAACATACACATCACTAAACATGAAATTTACATGGAATTATAACTCATACACATAATACACATAACATCAAGACAACTTAGCAAGAATTAATCACAATTTAACATATTACACTACAAATTAAGAGAGAATAATTCACCAAGAACCAAGAGATTGTAGATTAAATACTCCTACCTCCAAGAATGAGAAAACCCCCAAATTGAGCCTAAATTTCAAATTTCCTAGGGTTAGCCAAATGAGAAATTGTTTACATCAATGTGTAGATCTTGATGTGCTCTCCGTTTTGCCGCAAACGGCACTAAAAAACTTCAAGGAATGAGAGATTAATTGAAGATTGAAACTTTAATGTGAAAAAGAAAAACAAAAAAAAGAAAAAGAAAAAGAAAAAAAGACCAAGAATGAGCGGAAGAAGATAGCATTACGGGAGAGAAGATGAAGTAAGTCCAAGCATGGCGTCTTGGCCGCAAATATGGTAGTGGTGGGTCCCACCATTAAAGGATTTTCTTTTTCATTTATTTTCCACCATAAAATTATATATATATGTTTCAATTATATCATGGTCACACAATTTAGCACTTAAACAATTTACTTAGGCACAAAATAGTAATGCATGGTGTGCAAATGACCCGAGACACAACTCTAATACACAACAACTCTGGTAACGGGTCACACCCGAGACTGTTTGGTCTGAAAGACCGAAAAATGCAAAAATGACCACCATTGCAATTCCAAGAGTTTTAAACTCAAAGAAATGTCCCAACTGACTTTCGGACACACCTGACACACTCCACGGTGTCCGACAAGCAAAATAAAAAAAGACAAAAATACCCTCGAAAAATTCAGAAAATTCCAGAAAATGAAAAATGGTAAATTTAGAAACATTACGAAGACATCATTTCATCAAGATATAAACAGAAATTTTCACAATCATATTGAGACTAGACACTTCAACATGCGCGAGCTCTGCATGAAAATAGAGAAAATCACAAACATCTGAAATAGTCGAATATCTTCTAAATCTAATCTCCTAAAGAATGAATAATGAAGTATAATGCACAGAACACTTCAGGGGGTAAGTAGTCTTTCCTTCCCAATCGTATGAAACCGTTGGAAAACTGAGTAATCCCATATAACATTCGACCCCTGAAAAATGGGCACAGCCATTGGCATGTTTTGGGGGCCAGACTTGCTATCAAGATTTGCTTGCTGGCACTAGAAGTATTATCAGAACTTGGTACCCTCTACAAGTGAATTCAGATTATGGTACTGAGCACAGCGTACCCTCTACAAGTGAATTCAGATTATGGTACTGAGCACAGCTCTTAGTCACGAGACGTCGACAAAATTCTCTTTTCAAACATGTCGTAAAGATGCAACAAAAACATGCCCAATTTTTCTCATCACTAAATCAAGGCATAGCACCCTCAGATATCAATAAGCAATCAGATATGCAAGTTCACCACACCACCTGTATTTCCACGCAAAAAAGGAGAGTATAATTAAGTTCTGACACTACTGCATAATCTTATACAACTAGAAAAATGGCAAGTTCTGCAACTTTTGTATTCATTTAAACATATTGAAGTCAAAATATAAGGATTACATCCATTATATGACAATTAGAGATTGTTATTGATACTACCCTTGACTCTCAATGGGATTAGTTCAGACAAACCTGAAGAAGGAAAGGAAAAACAAAACACTTTTTGACTACAAAATCCTGTGGCTCTTTATCATGTACCTCAAAACAATCATATCACCTTCTAAATTTAGTTTATTATTCTTCTTGTCTTCGTCATCATCAGCTTAACCATGTTCAACACCCAAATGTCATCAAGAAATACATCTCAATTGTCTAACCAAGATCTAGACTTTTCTTCATGGTTTCATAGACCATATATGTAATGCTTGCTGCAGGTACAACTTTCAGAAGATTTGGAAAAAGTCCTTTGTAGAAACCTCTAAAACCTTCATGCTGAAGTGTTCTCCGAAATACGTCAGCCATTCCCGTATAAGAAGTAGATGTATCAGCACGTTGAGCTTGCATTCTGGAAAGTGACGAGTAGCATTAACAACTAGCATGTACAAAGTAAAGCTAGATAATCCAAAGGAACAAGTAGAGCATAATAGTCTTATGTAGGACTTTACCTTGTTCTGATGACCTGCAATGGATAAACACACGTTGCTCCAAGCGCTCCCGAAATTGTCCCACAACCCAGTTGCACAAGAGGGCCAGGTTCTACAGAAATAAAAAAATCTTCAGAATGTGAATTTCATGATGCAGGCAAATATAAAGTAGCACTGAGCTAAAACCAAAAAAATAAATAAATAAATAATGAAACATTAATATTAAAACACAAGATAAAAGATATTATACCTCTGTCATGGAGATAATGTGTCCTTGAAAAATCTTTCAAGGTCTCATAGGCAGCAAGGTCAATGCCAGCATAAGGTATGATCCCAAGAAGAGATGGTATGAGCCCTCTATAGAAGGCCCGGGGTCCTTCGTGAACCCAAATGTCCTTTGACAATTTCCCTAACGTGGGAACCTTCCCACCTTCACCAACATAAGTCTGTAACCTAGTTTTCACAAGATCCATGGGATAGATTGCAGTTTGTGCCACCGCACCAGCCAAACCACCAGCAAGAAGTCGTCCACTCGTTCCTATATCAGCCTTGTCTTCCCCTTTAGCATCTCCAATGACATTCTTTAACATTTCATAAGTGTAAAACTTGATAGCACTTTCAGGAGCAACTTTCATAACGTTTAACCCATTGCCTCGGAAAAACCCCAAGAACCCACCTTCCTTCCATATGTTTTTAATTGCAGGACCAATACAAGCACGTGAAGTCTGAACTTGCAAAAGCACCTTAAGACGATCAAGAGGAGCAGTTGCAGTACGAGAAGCAGCACCCGCAACTGCCCCTGCAATTAAATACCTGCTTGCATTGACATGCTTACTGATGCCATGAGGAATAACAGCCTGTTCACCAATATCTACAAGGTATACCCTTTCCCAGTAATGGTATATGTTCTCAATGGTAGCCTCATGGGGATAGAGCAAAAGAAAATCTCTCCATTCTTCAAAAGTTATAATTCCATTATTATCCTTATCAACATGTTCCACAAAACTAGCCAGTTCATCATCATCAATTTCTATCCCTGCAAAAGATGAACTGCCATGGCTTATATAAGATGAAGACAACTCATGAGATGCAAATCATTGGCTGGGAAATGCTACCACTACCGCTTAAGGCATGAAAAATATATAAATATCTGCAAATTCACATAACAGGCATAAACATAGATTTTACTATATAATATAAATTCACTCCAACAGAAAACAAATCAGTAAAGGTTCATGAAGCAGTGTATCAAGACTATCATCAAGGTCTTCTCAGAATAAAATAAAATAAAATAAAATAAAAAATAAAAATAAAGACTATCATCAAGGACACTTGGAGCAACCCAACCCCATATTGAAGTCTCAAATATTCAGATTCCAGCAGAGTAATTGAGGATGACTATAGAAAATCAAAAGGGAGCACTCATTTAATCAAAAAATTCAAATAAAATGAAAACTTATTATTTGCAGGGCCCTATGCATCCAGAAAAAATCAAATACAATAACCAAATTTCACAACCAAAGTCATATGTTGATATTCAAAATAAATATAATTCAAACTTGTAAATGTTGCTATCCACGATAAAATATAATTCAAACTTGCAACATCAAATAAATTCAGGAACAATACATGGAGGAAAATGTAGAAAACAAAGCTAAAACTAAGTCTCCTTAGGAAAGCAATTGGTATAGATTGTTTGATCAAATACTTGTTATAGGATGCATGAAAGTAGACCTAGGATATTTTATCAGGTTAGACTTCCAGAAAACAACAAAGAAATGTTGATCTCTATACAATAAACATAAAATCTCACTCATCCTTGACTCTTCCTTTTATAAAGAAGAAAGAAACAAAATGTAAAAACTTATTGTTAAACAAAACATGTCTCCTGAATTTGAAAATTTTAGACTGAGACCCTCAAATTGAAATAGTCCAATATCCTGGTACATCTAGCAATCAACATAGTTGCCCCAGTGACAAGTACAACAATTATCAAATGCTCTATAAAAGTAATCTTACATTGTTCCAAAATTATAAAATTATCAACATTTAGCAAGCAGAACCAGCTACCAGACTACCAGACTTAGTCTAGGATCAAGAAGATTGCATGACCTTTTCTTTGGTTCAAACAATCATCCATCTTTGGTGTATGGCTACAGCGTCAGATTCCCACCCCCACCCATGTTTATTGAAGTACTACAGAAACCCATGTTCCATCCAAGATTTGAACCCTGAGAGTGGCTAGATCAAATTACCCTTCTTGTAAAGTTCCCCAATTCAATATCCATTGCATGCCTTCCTTGCAACTTCATTCCCCTAGTAAATGCATTATTGATTAACTGCCCCTCCTTTTTTTTTTACTTATTTAAAAAAATTCTGATATTTATCTTTGCCTGCCATTTTTTCTAATAAGCCATATACAGGAAGTATTACAAATCTGCTTTAAACACTTCTAGTGTCAAAGTGTCCACCATAGTTTAGTCAACAGAAACTAATTATCAGAAATGAAACAGACCCACAAGATTCTCCTTGATAAACTAACACAATTCGTCATTAGAACTAAAAATGTGTAAGAAGTTGATGTCTACTCCTGGTTCCCAGTCGCAGACAAGAACATGGGGCCGTATCAGGCATAATGTAACTAATCGGTTATTGCGGTCATAATTTTTTTTTTTTTTTTTTTCTCAATACTGCACATAAAAATCCAAAAAAATGTGATATGCAACTTTTTACGTCATAATCCAATAAATTTGAGTTTTTAATGAATTTTGAGATGTTCGTTAAACTGTTAAGATCATTTAACATAGCTAGTGAACTACACATGAATTCCAAGTCGTCGTCGTTAAAGAGTTAGTAAAATTTTAAAATCCAAACTATTATAATCAAAACTCAAATATATATCTATATATATATATATATATATATATATAATTGATTTATATAAAATTATATATTATGATTTATATAAAATTATCTATTATTATTTTTTGTAATACAAGTGGATTAAATTTATAGAACTTTTCAAAAAGAAAAAAAAAATGTAGAAAAAGAATAAACAAGATCTCCACGTGGAAAAAATATTATAAGAAATAATGAATTTGATGTAAGTTACAAGAAAACAAAAGTCCTGCAATTTATATAGTAATGAATTTTTTATATATTTATCTTCTAGAAAATATAATGAGCAGCTGGTAAAAAATAAAAAATAAATAAAAGAAAGAAAATGGGAAAGATAGCTGTAGACTAAAAGGGGAAAAAGAAAAAGGAGAAAAGAAAAAACAGCTGTAGCCAAAGTGACAAAATTAAGCTGTAGCTCAACGGTTACAGAAGACAAAAGGTCTCTTTGGACTTAAGAGACACCACTCTCTCTCTCTCTCTCTCTCTCTGAACAAACTCTAGCATAACCCAATTAAAAATAAATAAAAATAATGAAGAAGAAGAAATAAATAAGAGTCCATATAGTACAATAACGAAATAAGGAGGAAAACGAAAAAGAAGAAAAATAAATAAAAGCGATGCTCTCAACTCAAAACACATAAGTGCTTAAATTCATTTCATCATTCCATAAAATACAGTCACAAGCACCTCTAGAACTCATATGCAAATGAAATTAGCATAACTCCAATCAATCCCCGAATTTTCTGAACACTTCAAATAAGATTTAAAAATTGAAAAGAGAAACACAAACATGTAATAACTACAAGATAGTATATTCCTTTACAGAATTACATACCATAAAAAAATATTTCCTTTACAGAATTTACCATGAACATACAAACACGCATCAATGAACAGCGAACACCCGGGTTGCGAGCACTTCTAAAGTGGCAAAGCATCATGTTAAAGATGCACAGAACACTGTCCGTTTTCTTTCATTCAAACAAATTGATTAACCCAGCATGAGCTCCTGTTGGTTTTTAGAGCTCCATATTTCCACATAATGAATACAAAGCCCAGAGCAAGGAGGATTTTATTAGTCTAATACCTACTGTGGACCTGAATTAAACCCTCAAAGACATGGACTATTCTCTAAAATAATAAGCCAACAAGGTAACTATCAAACCTAGGCCATGTAAGGTCCAACAATGTGATTTAATAATCCAACTTAGATTCCTATGTTCACTAAAGTCTCAACTTACCTTAACTATATGTGATTAGCTTGACGGACTTATCAGCGTGTTCTTCATGTTCTTTATCTTCATCATCTTCTTTTGTTGTAAACAAACAAACTCAATACATTCTGTTCAATCTTACAACCCTAGTTTTGTTTAAGAAATTGCCAACACACGACTCTATCCCATATGTAATAAAGCTTACTAAGCCTTCACACAAGTTCGTTGTGTAAAAAAATAAATCGAAATATTTAACATACACTATATTTAGATCTGATTTATTCTACAAAGTCAAGTTAATTTTTAAATCTACAGTTTTACCTGCCATTCAATTGTTCTCTTTCTTTTTATATATCAAGTCAACATCGTAACCAGTTCTAGATTTTGAAATCATACTCAAATCAAAGCAACCAATGTTGTACTGAGAAATCCTCTGCACATTGTCCATGTTACAGAATGATTTAAACACTGATATGTGGAATGGTTGCGTGGGTGTGTGTTGGCAGGGGAGCAGGGGAGAAATGAAAAATAAAAAGGAAGTAACATCCTTCCCTTCTATAAGCTGTAGTACTGATAAAAATAAAAATAAAGGGGACGCACTTTTGGTAAAAACTATAGCAATCCCATTCGCATTCATGAAGAAATGATTATCACGGTTTATGGATGCCCCTGCTAGAAAAGGATGTCATGATATTCGTGGTAAACTTGACATTCATACGATCAGTAAAATTAATTCCGAAAAATATAATATAATAGATTTTCGAAAGGAAAGGAGAAACTAATATATAATTTTTATGACACGGGATATATATGATGGAACTACAATTATAATATAAACATCAACCTCTTATTGGATTACCTTCATTATGGATAAAATTACGAAACACATTCAAAATAAAAATCCATGGTATATCATGTATGCTATTGATGAAGATATAGATTGACTTGAACCTAAAATGGGGTATAGGTGATAATTAAAGGTTTGTCACAAGGATATAAAAAAAGTATGACTAAAACTAAATATGAGAATATAAGTCTGGTAAAATTAGAAATACAAATAAGGAGATGATGAAGATCAAGGATCGGGAGAAACCAAAAGGAAAACAGTTTTGTTAGCTAAACTCAACTGTTCATAGAGAGGAAGATTGAACATGATGCCGTTGATATAATTAGAACAGGGCTGGTTATAGATAGAAGAGTGCATCAGCCTTCAGGTATATTATATATGACTATATGAGTGTTAATTCTAAAATTCAAATGTAAAGTCTATAAAGCAGTTATAACTAACTATGGGAAAGAATGTTAAACAGTTAAAAAAACAAAATGTTTACAAAATAAGCCTAGTTGAAGTTAGGATGGCTAATATATGGATGCTACTGAAATGTGGATGTTGAGATGAAACAAAAAGAGTCTATTTATTACCATCAAAATCCAATTTCCTTTATATGTTCCAAAACTTCCAACTTTCCACTTCTTACTGTTCAAATTGCACTGCAAGAACCTATATCAAAAATATTGCAAGAATATTATTCAAGAAGATTGAAGCCTTGAAGCTAATAATTATCTGACTTGAGTAGTTAGTAGCCATATGGAGACCAAATTGAGAGACTATGGCTGCTAAACTGAAGTAGAACGAAAACCATGCGCCAATACGACAATACTATGTATTGCATTTCCTTCAAAAGTACCTAAAACTTGCAGCTTTTTCATTGGTTAGATGTTCAGAAAATATATTTTAAGCTACAGAGGGTAAACTGTATTCCATCACGCATCACCTTGAAATGACATTGATTCTTCTAAAGAGGAAGTTTACAGGTTCAAAACAACACATTTGCATAGCATGGTCAAACTATCAATCCAATTAAAGCAATTGCATCTAACATCACAAGAGTATTAGTAGAGCACATAAGGGAAATTATACCAGCCTTAACAAGCGCATCCCAAAGCTCCTCAGGCACAATGCAGCCATTGTGTTCGACATCAATGGCTTGGAAAATCCTATAAAGCTCCAGCTCCTTATCGTCCATATACCTCCTAAACTCCTGGTAATCGACCCGGCCATCCCTATTGGCATCACAAACCCTCAACAGATCCTTGGCATACTTATACTCCGCCGGAATTTGCATCGCGGAGAGACCCGCCTCAATCTGAGTATAGTCCAAGTACCCAACATTGGCAGTGTCAAAAAAATTGAAGAGACTCCGAATTCTAGTGTCCCTCTCTTCCTTAGTTTCTTGCAATGCCGAGAGAACATGGTCCATCGACACCGGACCCGCCTTCTTCACCGGATTGCAGCAGCCGGGACGCTCCCGGCGGTGGTCCTCGGCGGCCACGTTCCCAAAATTCGCGTGCTTGACGGTGGCCTGCCCTGCCCCTGACATCAAAACTCTATCAATTTCCAAGAGTTACAAGCATTGAAGACACCAAAGCCTTCCGATCTAAAAATTTTCGAACAAATACTCTTCACACCCGAATAATTATGACACCCAATGAGATATATAAACAACTTGTGCATATACATACGACCCCCATAAATCAGGCACAGAAAAGTGTGAGAAGACCCAAAAACTTGATGGGTTTCAGATAGCTTCAAGAGAGAGAAGATCCAAACAAAACTTGACCCAGATTGGTGGAGGACAATCTGGTGAAGACCTTTTTGTGGGTCAAAAAGGAGATTCAATTTTCTTCACGAAGATGTAGAAATTCGAAGCTTTTAGAGTCGTTTCATGACCTAAAAAATATCAATATTTGGGAGAAATTTGAGTAGAAGGAGACGACAATGGCCGGTTTCAGACAACGAAATGGGCGTGTGTGGCGTCAATCTGGGGAGGTGAGAATAGAAGATATTGGGCAACAAATTTGACACGTGAAATTGGGAGATGAGAGAGAGAGAGGGAGAGAGGAGAGAAAGAGAGAGTGGAGAGAGATGTGGTTGCGACATGAGAGGTATCAATGAATGATTCAAGGAAGGAGATGGAAAGAATAACATACACGTGTACGGTTGTTGATTTTTTTCTCTTTTCCTATTAGAATGCGTCACGTTTAATGGTCCACTTATGAGGATGCTATATTGGTAAAAATATCAATGGACCTACCCTGTCATATGTCACGCGAGGTTGTAATTTTTTTTTTTATTATTTTTCTTTATCTGAAAAAAAAATAAATTAAAATAAAAAAATAAGTAATTTGGTTGTTAAGTCAAGGTTTTTATTTTTATTTTTTACTTTTGGGTTTCTAAATCTCAGCATAAAAAAAAACCCTCACATGTCCCATTTTGGGCCATATAAGAACCAATGTGATTACACCTAGTTAGAAATGTGGTCAACGGAATGTTTGGCAATATACATAAGGGATTTGGATCCGTTTTGAGGTAAAAAAAAAATTTACCGAAGTTAAATTGTACCCTTTTATATTAAAAAAAAAAAATCACCATACTCTAACAATGTTAGTTATCTTTCCCTCATCTGTACCCAAAAAAGATCCTCCCTCTCTCTTTTCCCGCTTATTCCTAATATAGAATATTTGGCGTAAAAAATGAATGTTCTTTGCCATGGAATTAAGATGGACAAAAATGTGATTGGAAGACATGCAACATTTATTGGCAATAGTAATACTTGGAAAACAATATATATATATATATATATATATATATATATATATACAAGTATGGATATTGATAGTGTTAGAAAAATACAATCAAAAGCCCTATATATAGAAAAGATGAGAGACAACGTCGGTCAGGTTAAAAGAGAAATAGAGACCATCGCGACTTGTTTAAGATAAGAATAAAGACGAGAGATGGAGGATTTTTTTTTTTAAATGATGAGGAGAGATAACAACGTTAAACGTAGTTAGAGTATGATAAATTTTTCTTAATTCAAAATGGTGCAGTTTTTAAATTTTGGTAAAATTTTTTTATCTCAAAATGGTGCAATTTTCAAATTTTCTTTAAATTAGTTGACGTGGATTAATACCAGCCATAGATAAATTTTAAATGTTACGTATCAATTTGTTGCAAATTCAACTTAGAACAACTTAAAGAATATTTAACTCAGAGGATCCAAGTCCATATATAGGTGTGTCACTCTAACTGATACGAGGCTCACGACTCACTCTATCATATGCTATGGTATTGTCTATTTTGGGTCTAAGCCCACACAGTTTGCTCTTAATCGTTATCCCAAAAGGGTCTCGTACCATTTGGAGATAACACTACCACTACATATAAATATTTCACATTTCCCTAGCCAATTGAAGTGATATTATGCACTTATAATTTATTTAGTGTGGTAGCCTATCGGCGTCTAAGCACCGGCCCATTAGAGAGCTAACACATTCCAATAAGATTTATTTACTTATTTATTTTTTTTAAAGGTAGTATCACTCTTTTTATTGGAATGCTACTTATGCTACGCATGTATATGCTACGCAAGGTCACCCTTTTCTGTACTTGTGACAAGGCTGTAATTTGGTTGTGGGAATGAATGCCCGTGCTTTAAGGATTTTATGTCATGATATGTTAAATTAAAGTTCCTTTTTATTTTATTTTTGAACTCTTTGACATTTTATTTTGAAAGACATAAATATACAACTTGATTACTAGTATAATTTTAACTTGATTATAGTTGTAAGTGGTTAAGTTAAGGATTTAACTTAATAGGATTAATATAAATTCAATACATTTAAATCAAGTTTATCAGCAATGTCAACCTAAATAAATAATGTGGTAAATTAAGGAAATAGCCTAATGACAAAGACTGTACCAATGCATATAGATCGGGGGACTGCATTTACCTGATTGTGGATTATGAGGTCCAACACCACCATCATTGAAAAATAAATAAAAAAAGTGTTGAACCATGACCGGCATCATGAGTTTACATTGTAGCAAGACTCGTCGTATTACAAATCTCTCTTACCTATCAATATGTAAAAATGTCAGTAACATCATCTCATGTGATTTATTTTATCAACCACAAATTTGAAATCGTTTTTGAAATATACAAAAAGTTAAAATTTAAAAAATCAACATTCAATAAATAGAGTTCATGACTCTTGCCTGATTGAATATTTTATTTTATTTTATTTTTTGTAAGCTTAACTCCAAATTTGAATCAACATCTAACAATTTGATTGTTTTTAATACATTCATTATTCCATTTATAATTTTTTTCTTCCCTTATTAGAAAGAAAAGACGAATATGAATATAATATCTTTTTATTATAATTAAAAAGATAACAATGACAACATCCTTTTTGAGTTGAAAAATAGATTTGACACCCTGACGATGCACATAAACACTAGTTGAGAATGATATTCTTCCTTTTTTTCATTTTGCATGGTGTGATAAAATTTTTATAGATAGTTTTAAAGTAGTACCATTGAATTGATAGTGCCAAGCCAGATTTTATTGGTTTTAAAGTTTAGTTATTACAAGCAATCCGAATTGATAGGTCAACTAATTCTTTTTTTGATGGATGAAAGAATTTAATTCTTGCTTTTGTGCTTTATAACTCTTCCACTCTGCCTTCAAATTACTTGAAACTGAGTCACTAGTCAATCAATATAAGGTCCATCTGGCAAAATATATATATATATATATATATATATATATATATATATAAGGTCAATTTTGGTATGAAAAACTCTTTTCAATCAGAATTGGCTTGGTGGGATCCACATGGAATTTGTCTTTATTATTCGTCAGCCTTAAAAAAAAAAAAAAAAAAAAAAAAAAACAAGTCTTTTTAGCATTCACTTTTGTTTTTGTGATTTTTACGCAGATGTTGAAAGAGAGAGAATAGAATAATATCAAAGATTAGTCTTAAAATTCAATATAAGCAAATGATGACATAGTCTAAATTAAGGTTTTTCACTTTTTCAAATATTATGAGGTTGTCTGGATAGTCTAAGTGGATTAGTGTTTCATGTGAATTTTGACAAGTCAGACTCTGATTCTTTATATTTGTTAATCTGACATTTAATATTTTTTATTTAACTCGCAATGTGTAAATTTTACGTAGCAAGCCTAGATTAGTTGACTCGTGATCTAAATAGAATAAAATGTGAAGGTATATTATTCTTCTATCCAACGCATTTATAAGCTAAAGTATTCTCATTTCAAACTGATTAGGTGACTAAAAGAGAGCAAGAATGATCCTTCCGTTAGATTCTCAATGCATTGATGACAAAGACAATACAGTTTTAAAAATGGAAGCTTGAAAATGTTTTTATTAATGTTGAAAACAAGTTACACTAGTTAAAGATCACAACTTGGAGAACAAAGGTGCTAAGCAACTAGATTACAACTAGCTAAAATTATTGAAGTAAAGCAATGGAGCTAAAGTTGGTAAGGAATTAAAGATCTAGATAGACATGAAATATAAAAGCTATGAAGCTAAAAACTATAAAGCTAAGGAAGATAGATATTAAAGGGCGTGTGGAATAATAGTGTCAGACCCCTTTACTTGTAAGATTTGGTTAAGTATTAATGATCTAGCGTAAAAATGGGAGTTTGTCCCATATCGAATTCGGATGAAAAGTAAATGGATAAATATGCAGCACTACTTAATAACTTAAGTTTTTGAATAAATAGACAAACTTTAATCTGTTATAATTAATATCAAAACCCGACCAAGTCCTTAATCTGGTATCACGCCAAACACTTGTCTCGGAAGATGTCAGAGTCTCTACCCTAATAGATACTTAGACAGAATGACTAATAACTTAAATATTTGAATAAATAGACAAACGTAACCGGCTTTATTTTGCCATTTTGAATTTTCTTCACCAACCATGCAGAACTTTGACCCATTCCTAGGCTGTCACACTCGCACCTTCTAGGTTCTAAGAACTGAAATCATATAGGTAGGTGAAATCTTTTTACTCGCGACTCTGGTTTCTTAATTTCAAACGTGACCAGGCTGTCATTTTTGTTTTAAGCTTCCTTTGAGTTTCTAGACGTGACTGTTTGAGTCCGTGATCTTAGAATTCACATTTAGTCTTTGCTTTGACTCGGACAAAAATCTTTGTCGAGTGCCTATGACCTAAGAAGGTGTTAAATTTATCTCGACCCCAACTTGTCCAATGGTTAATCTTCACCATGCACGCCTTCAGCTTGAACCTTTTCTTGTTCACTCCTAATTCGTCTTCTTGACTTGGTTAAGAGGTTTCACTGGCCTTGCCCATGACTTCAATTTCAATCCAAAATTCCTTCTCCATCATGGTCAAAACTTCTGACCATGGTTAAAAGTAGAGGTCACAAGACTCCTGACCATGATTAGAAATTAAATTCCTTCTCAATCATGGTCGAGACTCCCGACCATGACTAAAAAATTCATGCCCTTGAACACCTTTGTTTTAAACCAATATTGATCGATAATCATGACTATAAGTTGGTCGTAGGCTCAACCTTTATCTTGGTTACGATAACCTAGGATTTTCATTCTCAATCACGTCTTTGGTTGGGAAGCCAGATTGATCTCGCCCATCATGATTAGGAATTCATTTTTACCTCTATGGTCGAAGTTCATAGCCACGACCATGGGCTGGTCTAAAATCTAGACCTCGAATGTCTCCATAAACTGATTTGCAACACTAAATGGTTTAGATTTTGTTAAAAAAAAAAAATGGTTTAGATTACTTGTTAGAATTGAAAAAAAAACACACACACACACACACACACACAGAAAAACTACAAAATAATCAGAATATCCGAATGCTTAGTTGACTACAACATTTTTGAACAAATCGAAAATAGCATACAAGACCCGAAAATGCCTTATATGTATATATAGTATTTTATTTTCCAAATAAACACTAAAAAACTCATGCAACAATAGACTTGTACAATACTTGTGTACATGTCTGTAATATATATACAAACGTATATAAGCATATCGCACAAACTGCGTCTATATACACA